TATTGACACCTTCATCTAAAACCCAATCCCTATTGGCGTCTCTTAAACTAAAAGTCCACTTTGCTGACATCTTCATCTCCTCAACCAAAGCCCAATCCCTATTGGCAACCACCAAAATCTAATCCCCATTGGTACCCAGAAAAATATCATCTTCCAAAATCAATCACCATCAGGTTTCACCTGTCATTCCCAGCAAAGTCCAATCATACTTGGCACATCCTTCTTTCCTCGGCGGCCCGGGCCTGCATCTTCATTTGGCATATAGTAATCATTGTATCCTCAAACGTGTAGCATTTCCATTTCTTATGGAGCATTACGCCATATTCAACATACACATGCGGAGCATAAGCCATATTTGATACCTTGCGTAGAAGCCCGAATCAACTTTCAGTCAAAACAGTGACATATTCTCAGAGAGAATGCCGAGCCATTCCCCAGCAGACATTTCAGTCAACTCATTTGCTTACTTTCTTTTGGGTCTTATATCATATGTCGATCTTATCCTCGATCAGTCCTTGCCCATCAACCCTTTGATGACAACATCCCAAAAGCATTTTTTTCTTTCCGTCAACTCTTCGATGATGTGTCTCTTCGGTGAAGTTTTTCTATTTCGTCAACCCTTTGACGACGACAGTTTCCTTTTCGCCTACTCCTTGGCGATGTCTGGTTCTTTTCTGTCAACCCTTTGACAAAGTCTATTTTCTTGCCATCAACCCTTTGATGACGATATTCCAGATGTTATCCTTCCGTCAACCCTTTGACGAGGTATCTCTCTAATGAAGGATTTCTCCCCGTCAACCCTTTGACGATGTCAGCTTTCTTCCCATCAACTCTTTGATGATGTGTCCCTCTGATGAGGATGGTTTTCCTTCCATTAACTCTTTAACGGATATAACTGGGTTTCTTTTACTCCCTAACAGGTTCATCTTTCTTTCAGGTCATAATTCGGTTGATTCTACTTCTTGTATATCGTATTGTATCCCAAATTTTGGTTGGTATCTTTGGTGGGCTGTATCCCAACTTTTGGTTGGTGTCCCTTGTGGTGATCCTAACTTTTGGTTAGTAGCCTTTCATATCAACTTTTAGTTGGTATTCTTTCATTATGAATTTGCCTTCGGTCGGCGTCTCGGTTATCCTAACTTTTGGTTAGTACCCGTTGTTATCTCAACTCTTGGTTGGTAATCTCTATTTATCTCAACTTTTGATTGATATCTTTGTGGGTTGTATCCCAACTCTTGGTTGGTACCCTTTGTGGTTATCCTAACTTTTGGTTAGTACCCCTTCTGTTAATCATTCCAACTCTTGATTGGTAGTCTCTAGCTTTATTCCAACTTTTGGTTGGTATTCTTCCTTGTGGATTCTCATTCGGTCGGTGTTCCGGCGATTCTAACTTTTGGTTAGTAGTCTCTATTCCAACTTTTGGTTGGTAATATTTAGTTTTACCCCAACTCTTGGTTGATATCTTTTTCATGTGAAGTCTTCATCCCAACTTTTGGTTGGTATTCTTCATTGTGAGTTTGCCTTCGGTCGACACTCCAGTTATTCTAACTTTTGGTTAGTAGCCTTCATCTCAACTTTTGATTGGTATCTTTACCCTTTGTTTCATCCTAACTTTTGGTTGATATCCTTCTTTATCCCAACTTTTGGTTGGTACCGCATTTCTTTTGCATCCCAACTTTTGGTTGGTACCTTATACCTTTATCCCAACTTTTGATTGGTAATCTCTCTGTCATTCTAACTCTTGGTTAGTATTCTCATTTTACCTCTATCCTAACTTTTGGTTGATATCTTTTGGTCGAATCATTTTTTATCTTTTGCCATCCCAACTTTTGGTTGGTATCTTGTATCTGTTTGCTATCTCAACTCTTGGTTGATACCCGCTATCATTTAAGTCCACCTTCGGCTGGAAATCACTTTACTTTGCATATTCCCACTGTTTGCAAATTTCTGGGTTCTTTTTGTATTCAATCACCTTTTATCTTGAATGTTTGAAAGCGATTGTTATTCATACCTTCAGGTCCAAGTTGATTGAATAGGGGCATTTGTTGCATCCCAAAATTTTCCCTTTCTTTTTCTAACTTTAACTGGCTTATGTTTCGCGTTTATCTGCATCTTCACTAGGTCATAATTCATAATCATACGTTGCATTGGTATTCTAAGACATAAGATCGAAGAATTTTTCTTGTTACTTGTGTTGACCCTATTCAGAGGTGATTCAACTGGTTGTTACTTTGGTCAAGTTGAAGCAATGGTTGAATTCCCATTATCACAAATATCTTCATATTCAGAGGTTCATTAAGCTGTAAGGTTTTCCTACTCATAGCAGTCATCAGAAGCATTGGGTCAAGATTTTATGGGTGTGAATCAGGGTTTGGCTTTTTCTCAGTTCAAGTCATTTCTGCATTAGTGTGCATTCAAGGAAGACCAGGGTTTCTCATTCAAGGTTGAGTTTGTGGATAGTCATCAATTGAAGATCATGGGATTAGAGTGTCATGTTAAGGGGATCTGTGGTCATCAGAACAAAGCATTTGTAGTTTGATTTGAAGGGTATTAGGTCATGGTCAATTGAGTTTACTGATTGGATTTTTGGGATTCATTGAGGATATGAGTTTCATGTGGATTGGATGTTTGATTAGAGTTAGACATGTCAAGATTAGTCTTGTGGGATACTTGGAATTCGAGATACAAAGCCATCATAAACCATTATCCATTCTTGTTAATCCAATTAACCATTTTCAATAACCAAATAACCATTCTTTTTTTTTTCAAGTCATTAACCATAATCCACTTTTAACCATTTTTTTTAGGTTTTATATCCAAACCTCTATCCATATCCAATTCGTTATCCATATCTAATTCATTCAAATAACCATTGTCCATTTCAATATCCATTTGAAAAAACCAAATATCCACTTTCAATTTTTTTATCCATATCATTCTCCATTAATTCATTTTACCAAATTTCAACACCAATTATCCATATCCAAAATTTCAAAAGTAAATCAATTTTTCTAATTCAAAACCAATGGTACACATCAAAAGAAAAATCCGATCCAATCATCCAATTCTATGTTCACTAACCATATCCAAAATTTCCATTGTTAAATCAATTAGGAAGTTTTCGAAATAAGAATTGAGGAAGGTATTTCATTTGGTTTTCCATGTAGCTGAAACTTAATGCCAATACCACATTATTTTTGTCAGGATGGGTGGACATACTCTTTCATATGAGTGCGGTTTGTTGAGATTAGGTTTCTGATGGATCTAGCAATTATTTTTTGTTTTTAAAGGATATTATAAGGACTTAAAAGGGGAGATATTGTTTCACCAATTTGAGCATCTTCTGGAACATAAGAATACTCAACAAGGTTTTCTACTTTATAGGTATCAGTCTTTTTACAGAGTTTAAGAAGTGATAGGGAGGAGGTGGTAGTAATAGATTGAGTGTTTGATTATGGTGTTTCCATGATTAAGTAGTTTTCTCTTTTACTCATTCTCTTTATTATATTCATACCATATGCACCCCTTATTTCTATCGAGGCTCTGATACCACACTGTCCGAGAGACTCACATATCATTGAATGCTCTACCTTGTTGATTAACTAGTTGCTTGGCTATCGAAAAAACCTGAGTTTTGAGATTTTCGATTCACATATCAGTGTTATTTAGATTTGCTATAGACAATTGCATAAATTGATTTACATTATCTTCTAATTTTGAAATTTTATCTTGTCGAAGAGAAGTCTGGTTGTAGTTTTAGTATGACTCTTGTATGTTGGATGATCCTACATCTTGTCTCCCTCCTTAATTTTAGTTTGAGTTGTTATTTTGATATTGTCATGGTCTTTGTTGGTTTTTCGAAAAATTTACTTCTCCATTTAATGAATAACAGTAATGTGTGGGATGGTGCAAATGCAAAGCTTACAATAAAAAAACTTGCTTGTGTTTAGGTACCTTTTGAATTTTTTTTGAGTTGTTATGGAATTTTTGACAATTCCTTTTTTAGCTTAAATAATTATAGTTATACACAAATATGAATAACTTTAAAAAAAAGTTTTTAAATGGTAAAAAAATAATGCTATGATTATAATATCTAAATGTCAATCTCGTGTAACAACACTTTTTTATTGATAGAACAATAATAAATATTTTTGTGTTATTTTATCCACAATGTTGATGTCATATTTAAAATTGTTAATCATCTTTATAATTTTAACCGTCTTTAAAATATGATAGAAAGTGACTAAATGAGATGAAATGTATTCTATCAAATTTTGTCTCTTTCTATTTTTTTTTAAGTAACCGAATGATTGGAGTCTATTTTATTAAAAGATTTGGAGTTCAACTTATTAAAAATGAACAAATGAATTTGTGAGAAGTTTGAATCTGCATTCATACACAATGTTTTTATATAATTACCTACCGAACCGTCAAATTCCACTCTATTCTATTATTTTTAATTAACCGTCAAATTCCACTCTATTATATTATTTTTAATTAATCCAAATGATAGGAGATAAGTTTATATAATTTTATTCCATCTAACCGATTCCATCAATTTTTTTAATTTAAGTTTTATTATTCTTTTCATCCCAAAAAGAATGATCCAATAGACTTTTTCAAATAAATTAAAAAAAGAAATAAATTAAGAAGAAATAATATTATTTTTATTAAAATACTTTTATTATATATTAAAAAGAATAAAAATAATATTAATGAGAAGATAAAATTAAAAAAAATACACTACAAATTAAAAAGGATTATAAAATTTTAGAACATTAGTTTATTCTAAGATATGAAAAGTATTTTTCAATTTTTATTTATAATTACTGTCTTGTGTTGGTACATATCGAGCATGACATCACAACACAACCAGGGTTTGATTGATTTCATTTCAACTTACAAAAATCCTAACAATCGCTCCATCCTTTTCTTGCATAAGCTTTCCCTTTATTATCTTCCAATTCCAACAATAACGACCACATCTCTCGTTTTTGTTGATGGGTCGCCCACCCAGTAACGGAGGCCCCGCCTTCCGCTTCACCCAGCCGGAGGTATTCATCTATTCAATTCCTCTCTCACTCTATCATGTTTTTTCTCTTTCTTGCGTTATGATTTGGTTTTTCTATACTCAATGATTTGTGTATGTTGGCGTAATAATCAACCAAGGCTACTGGATGCTGAAAATGTATGCATCAAGTTACAGCTCTTTGAATCGAAATTAAGACTCAGTTTAGTTAAAATTAAAATATAATTCATTATCAAGGTAGTTGGTCAGTGGTGATTGACGCCGGACTTGGTAGGGAGGACTTCGGTTCAATTTCCGCAACTGGGATCGGGTGGGACTGTAATCACTTGATGCTAGAACTAACCCCCGAACAGAATTAGTCGGTCTAGTGAGCCGAATACTGGTGATTTGTGAAGTAGAGCTTATTTTTTATGTGAAGTAGAAGCCGATTTGTGTTTGTTTAAATTTTGGAAAATGATTGATAATGTGGAGGTCAAGTATTATGAAAGAGGCGTCATATCCGCATAATCTCCATTGATTGTATATTCTTGTTTTATACATTGATGTGTGTCTTTAGCTTTGAAATGAATTGCATGCATTTATTCTGTTGTGGATCTTGATTGTGTATCAGACTGCTTCCCACTCTTACATCGTGTTTTAGATTCATTTTACAAAGTTAATTGGACTGTGAGTTCACGTACCTGCTTGATTATGTTTACTGCGAGGAATCATTTTGTGAAATTTAAAGTGAAATTTTCCCTGTTGTATATGTTTTCTTTTTTGTTTTTCAAAAACAGAAGAGAAGCTTTGTAGGGGATGTTAGAATTTAGGAAACATCTCATAATATCTCGATTTAGTGTTAGCATATCTTGATTCTCATAGGTTTAGTTTCTTTTGCTAGAATATCTCTTGAGTTTAGTTTAATATTACATAATTATTATCATGCTTTGTTTCCTTATTTCATAGTCTTGTGTGTAAGAGCATGACTTTGTAACCTTAAGGGATATGGTTCAAATCCCACATTGTGGACAGTTGTAAAATGACAATTAGTGTTACTGTTATTAATAATAAGTGGGGGTTAGTGCTTGGTGTTTTGTATCAAGTTACTATCACTTATAGTCCACCATTATCATATTCACAGTCTATTATTTGTCTTCACTTTTTATCTAATATTACATAACTCGACAATTCCAATGACAAATTTTTTCCAAAAACTATTTTTTATCTGTATAGGTAACAGAAATGGAAGCTATTCTTTCAGAACACAACAATGCAATGCCAGCACGCGATGTTCTTCAAGCTCTTGCAGACAAGTTCAGGTGTGTCACAATACAGAGTACATGTAGAATTTAATATGCTCCTGAAAAGTGAAATTAAATTTTGCTCCTGTTTTTTGTTTTAGCAAATCCTGAAAAGTGAAATTAAATTTTGCTTCTGTTTTTTTTGTTTTAGCGAATCACCCGACCGTAAAGGCAAGATTACAGTACAGAATAAACAGGTAAGTCTGCTATATTTTATTACTGATGAGGAGTCTTTTGCCCTACATTCTTAGTTTTCTATTTCATTATAGGTCTGGAATTGGTTTCAAAATAAGCGATATGCGATAAGGGCTAAAACTAGTAAGACTCCTGCAAAGTTAAATATCACGCCCATGCCTCGGGTTGATTTGTCCCCAGGAAGGATTATGGCTCAACCAACAGCTTCTCATATTCCTGCTCCTTCAGCTTCAGGTAGTATGCTGCTTTTAGGTGCTTAAAGTAATTTGTTTTATATTAACAGTTATCTGTTAGTGTGTTAGTTTCTTTTGAAAGTTTAATCATGCTTTCTACTCAGCTCTTATACCATATCACTGCATTACTTCCTAGATTACATAGATTTTATTGTGCTGGTTTTGCCAATCTGTTTAGTTTAGCATACATAGCCTATAGCATAGACTGTGTACACGTGCTTAGTTAAATTTTTTCCTTATAGTTTAGACATGCGGTGCAATGAGTAAGGTCAAAAGTATTTTTGTTGTCATTACAAGCTTTGTCTCCACAACTATGTCCCACTTTTGTTTTCAGTCATTATTAACTTCTATGCTTACTACAATAGTAATGAAAAAGGGGTTACAGATATTGTATGATTCTAAAACTAGTGTTTCTGTAATAGAACTGGACAGAATCAGGTAAATGGTTTAATCTGTTTAGCTACAACAACCAATCTCTGGATTGGTATCTGGGTGAGTTTGAACATAGATTCAGAAAAATATTGATATAGAAGTACAATTCTCCCTCTCTAGGTATTTCAAAGATTATCTCATCTTTTATTCGTACAAACAAAAGATATTAGATACCCTTGATTCCTCTGTTTGTAACTTATAACCAACTAAAAGCTGTACAGTGACTAAATGCTTACTGCTAGCTTTCATTTCTATTAGTGATAAGTTAACGACCTATTTCTACAGATTGCCCTAATTGGAGGTGTGTCTAATAATTTGGGGCTTAGACCTAACTCAATCTCAAATATTTGGCTTGTAAAGTAAGGACTGCCCATGCCTTATAAGCATTATTTCGGCCTTATATTTATAGGCGATATGGGACTAAACAACTGCTTCATACCAAGCACAATGAAGGTGCTGAAGGTTGCAATAAAGTCCCACAGTTGCTGCAATTAAGGGGGCCAGGGAAGAACTGCAACAAAGGTCCATGTTTTTGCGCACCCAATCCGAGTTTGATTAGAGCATGGATAATATGGGCAATCTAAAAGCAGACATCGGATAGAATTTGATACCATTCAAGAGTCTATGCTCAAGCCTAACTCAACCCCATAAAATTGGCTTGAAAGATTAGAGCATCGATAATAAGCACTACTTGGACCATGTCTCTAGATGACGTGGTACTAAACATATTGCTTCACAACCTACACAATGAAGGTTGTGGAAGTTGCAACGAAGGTATCCCAAAGTTGCTGCAATTAAGGCGGCTAGGGAAGGATATAAAGCGGATTGTCCAACAGTGTGCTAGCAGATCTCGCCCCCAAATTGTATATTTATGAACCCAGTATCATCTTTAGGAAAAACATCGGTGTTATTCAAACTCGGTGTTATTCTAAGTGTGTCGTTTCTACTTGTCTAGAGAATAATATTTCATAGGTTGTGGCTGATCTCGCCCCCAAATTGTATATTTATCAACCCAGTATTTTGCTGTCATTTTTTTAGCGTGCATGATATGACAGTTCTTATGAAAATTTTAAATTGTAGATGAAAAACCTGAATGAATCACTTTTGGGCTTTATCCTTTATTTCGGGTGGTACAGTACTGCTGTATATTTTCAATTGTAGATGAAAAAAAATCATAATCAGGAAAAACATCACTCATTTCATTGTAGACTAATGCTGCATTTATGTTCTTATTCTCTAATATTTCATTTAATCACTTACATACATTGCTGTCATTTTATTGTCTACTCAGTTCAAGGAACAGCAAAATTAGCTCCTGAAAATTCAGTTATGGAATTTGAAGCTAAATCTGGAAGGGATGGAGCATGGTCAATATTCCCTTTTTAATCATGTTTAGGTTACTCTTTTGTATATTTGTCTACATAATTAATTTTCATTAGTGTACTTGACTTGTGGTCTTGTTTTTGGTTAGGTATGATGTGGCTAACTTTCTATCATACAGACATTTGGAGAGTAGTGATCCGGTAATTAGACATGAGATTATCTCCCTTAAGTTCCGAGAAAGAATTAATGAGGTTTTTTATATTGTTCAGTTCTTATTTTTCTGATAGTATTTCCTTGTTATTTCAATCAAGGCAGTCAAAATTGAGATCCTATTTTACACCGGGAAAGGGGATCATAAATAAATGACATAATTTTTTCTTAATGTTTATGTAACTGTTTTCTGTTATAGTGACCATCAAATGAATGTACTGTTAGTGTTGATGTTTTGCTTCCTTATTTGTTTAAAAGAATTATTATGGAATGGTCATGGACAAAAGTACTTGCAAATAAATTAAGTAGATCTGGTTCTCACTTATCAGTTTCTGACCTTTCATTCATGGTGTTGTAGTTGTCTTGAGTTTCGCCTTCAACTCTTATGGGAAACCTAAACAGTTTGTTGACTGTTGTGCAGTGCACCCAATCTTGTTTTATCCAGGCTTATGGATTTGTTGACCATGTAATGGCAATATCTCTCCATGTTTCAGGAAGTGCTAGTGCGTTTTTCTGGTTTTGGAAAGGAGGAAGATGAGTGGATTAATGTACGCAAGTATGTCAGGCCGCGCTCTCTGCCATGTGAATCATCAGAGTGTGTTGCAGTACTTGCCGGAGATCTCATACTTTGTTTTCAGGTTGGGATGTGTCATAATAAGTTAATTTGATCATGGAAATTTTCATCTAACAAATGTCGTTTTTAGCAAAACTTATTGTTTCTTACCATTTGTTGAATTTTGTTTTTTGACACTAAAGGAAGGTAAAGAGCAAGCCCTTTACTTTGATGCCCATGTCCTTGATGCTCAAAGACGGAGGCACGACGTAAGAGGCTGTCGTTGTAGATTTTTGGTTCGCTATGATCATGATCAGTCTGAGGTATTAATTTCAATAAGATTGTCCTTTGAAATTTATATCTTTTATGTTTGATTATAAGATTTTAGTCCCTATAGTTTCCACTCATTTCAGTTTTGATCCCCATAGTTTTAATTTTTTGATATCAGTCCCTATACTTTCTTATTCGTATGGATTTTGTTCCCTAATTTTAGGGTTCAGTCCTTATATTTTTAATTCATTTGAGTTTTGGTATCTAGTTTCTTCGTCAGTATTATGACACCAATCTACTTTTGATAAAGGATTTCCTATTCAGATACAATCTAACCTTGGATTCTCTCTCTGAAATTGTGATTCCATACTAGATTTCAAATCTCATTGAATTTTTCAATCAAATGATCATCATCCCTTACGCAGGAAATGCAGAATGATGACTGCAAAACAGTAACCCAAATGATTCATGTCTGGGCTTGTTTAGTCTATTTCTTCATAATGATGCCATTGAGTAATAATGATGTTAAAGGGCACTTCGATTGTTTTATTAATTCACATATTATGTGATTTTACCAGGAAATCGTGACACTTAGGAAGGTTTGTCGGAGGCCTGAAACTGATTACAGATTACATCAACTTCATGCTGTGAATGATGCAGCCCCTGCGGATCATCAGAAGATTAGCTTGGATCATCCAGCAAATGTTCATGGCATGAGGGTTACTAATTCTTCTGAAATGGTACAAAAGCAGCAACAGATTGCAAATATTCATATAGTAACACCAGTTTTGCAAACAAATGTTTCTGTTCCACCACAAAGCATGAATGTGGATCCAGTGAAAATTGAAACAAAACCTGATATTCAAGCTGGAAATCCTGTCACTCTAGGCACTGCCACATTCACCTCCGGCGTCATTACTACTGACAGTATTACTACTAGCAGTGTTCCTGAAGTTTCCACTCAGAACCCCGCCGAAGAGAAGTAACTTGAATATGTACAGTATTACTACTAGCAGTGTTCCTGAAGTTTCCACTCAGAACCCTGCCGAAGAGAAGTAACTTGAATATGTTCCTGAAGTTGGATGGTAATCTTTTGCACAAAATGCTTGTACATGAGTTTCGAATTATGGGAAATGAAAAGGGTAAGGTGCTAGAATTGCACTTTCATCTTTTATGTTAAAATTTACACTAATATATGTTAATAGAAACGCAAGGAAAACGATTTTGAACTTCATTTTTAGAGTTTTCTTTTGTTAAAGAATCTTCTAACGTCCATGACAATCGGTTTTGAATATTTTATTATAATTTTCTGTGAACTTGTAATTCAGCCTTAGATGACCTTTTTTATTTTCTTGAGCAGTTTACCAAAAAAATCATTTCATTTTTTTAAAGTGTGATACTTTTTAAAGGAGGATTAACATTGATTTTCATATGATTTTAATGCATCTCAACAATGGAATCTCATTTCACTCTATTCCATTCCTCTCTATTATATAACATTTCATCTATACAAACATATCCTTATGAAAGAAAATTGAACTCCATCAGTATGAATAATGGAATCTCATTTCACCCTATTCCATTCCTCTCCATTTTGTAACATTTCATCAATCCAAACATCCTTATAAAAAAAAAATTGTACTCCATCAATATCATAATCAATCGTACTCCATCAGAATCATGATAATTCGATTTGCTTGAATATTTGATATGAATTAAAAGTATATATAAATGAAAGAGAAATAAGAATACTTTTACTAAATTATATTATAGAGCAATGAAATATGTGCATTACCACTCCATAGGATGAGGGTGAATAAATTAAAAATTTGAATTTGTCATTTCATATTTTGGAGATATATCTTCAGACACGTTCAATACATACATAAAGGGTGTGACAGGTGAGAATACATACATAAAGGGTGTGACAGGTCAGACAGAGTCCGTTGATGTTAAAATATATTTCGAAGATATATCTCTGAAATCACCACTATATGATATTTTCAATACACACATAATATGTGTGGCAAATGAGTCACCCTTATTTAAATAGTGACAATTTCGGAAATCCTTATTTAAATAGTGACAATTTCGAAGATGCATTTTTGAAATTGTCAAGTAGAAAAATAAATAAAACAACATCCTTTTGTATTTTTCTTCTTCATGATCAAAGACAACTATTCTATCAAAATCCTTAAAAAAAACTCTATCTATTCTCAATCAACTTTTACACTAAAAAACAACATTTTTGTGTTTTATAGTAAAAGAAGTTCCAATTTAGGTAAATAACATGTTTTTCCTTCTACATTGCTTGCATTAATTTGTTTTCTGTTGTTGTGTAAAATGAACATTGAGTCCGGAGATGCATCACCGGACAAGATTGCATGTGTTTCAGATATGTATATTCGAAATTAAGTCAAAGTTGAGTTTAAATTTTTAATTTATTATCTATTATGATTGATTATAAATATGGTGCACCCAGATACTTTCTTTAAGCTATTGAGTATGTGGATGTTAAACCAGATAAAGTGGACATTAATGTTAAACCGGGTGATGTCAAAAATGATGTTAAACCGGTTGTTGTTTAGGCAAATGTTCGTGAATAATTTACAACTAAACAAGAGTTTGTTGAGCGTGAACATATGCTTCAATGGATCCACACGTAAGCCGCCAAAATTGAGTTTAATGTTGTAATTGGAAGGTCTGATAATGGTTCTAATAGAAGACAATCATTTGTAATAATGAGATGCGAAAGAAGTGACACGTACTAACAATCTATTCAGAAGTTGAAACAAGATAACTCCAGACCGAGAAAATGTGATTATCCTTTTAAGGTTCGTGGATACCATAAGATGAATAGTACACGAAAATTTAATGTGGTTTATGATATACACAATCCTTACTTGTGTCACAAATTAGCCGATCATCCCATTGTATGTCGCCTTAATCCTGAGGAGAAGGTACTTGTTTCTGACATGACATTAAATATGGTGTCGCCTAAAAACATACTTGAAACGTTGAAACGAAAAAGATCTCAAAATGTCTCAAATATCAAGCAAATATACAAAGTTCGAGCCATAAACAACAAGGCGGTAAGAGGACCAAGAACTAAAATGCAACAACTGTTGAAGCTTCTCAATGATGATCACTATGTTTATAGGTACAAAGTGTGTGAGGATGGAGTCACAGTTCGAGATATATTTTGGACTCATTCTGATTCCATCAAGTTGTTCAACACATATTCCAATGTGTTTATAATTGATTCAACATACAAAACAAACAAGTATAAGCTTCCACTTTTGTAAGTTGTTGGTGTTACTCTGAAGGAGATGACTTTTTCAATGGGTTTTACATTTTTGGAATGAGAAAAAGAGGACAATTACATGGGATTCGAAAGGGCGCAAGACTACGTTGAAGAATCAAGAAAATATGTCAACAATCATTGTAACTGTTTGCTGGATGCCAAGACAGTAAAAGATCCACTTCAGGCTATATTTACATGTTGGTTGGTGGTGTAGTTTCTTGGCGTAGTGCTAAGTAAACTCTTACGGCTTCATCCACCATGGCAGCAAAGTTTATAGCATGTTATGAGGCATCTAACCATGGGATTTGGCTAAGGAATCTTGTTACTGGGCTGCGAATTATGGAAGGAATTGAAAGGCCACTTAAGTTATACTATGACAACAAATCAGTCGTCCTATATTCCAACAACAATAGGAGCTCGACTAAGTCGAAACATATTGGCATCAAGTTCCTAGTTGTTAAGGAAAGGGTACAAATTATACAAATTTCTATAGAACACTTGGGGACAAACTCCATGATAGCAGATCCTCTTACAAAAGGTCTTCCACCCAAGATTTTTCATGAGCACACTGCTCGCATATGTGTTTTATCATTAGAGGAGTCTTTGATTTAGTGGGAGTTAGTCGATTATGAATTTTATGTTCTGTATTTGGTATTATGTATGCATACTATGATTTTGGATATTTTCAAATTAATAAAGTTTGATATTCAGTAGTTTATATTTTGTACAATAAAGTTATTTAATGATCTCACTACAGTAAAGTATGACCAGTTGAAAATCGACATATAAAGACTAATTTCATGTGATTTTCATGCTACACATTTCATGATTGATCTATGTCATTTAGTTGTGTCACTATCGGTGATCAATGATGAGTTTAGTTATGATTGATATAATGAAAATCACCTTGATTCTATATATTGGCATGACTAATGCACGAGATACTTTGGATATGCTTAAAGAATATAATGACAAATTTTTAGCTCATAAGTCTAACACATGTGCAAAATTACATATGTTACCAGTGGGAGATTGTTAGAATTTTGGATCACAAATATAACATTTAAGGTGTTAGTGTCATTATTTTAATTAGTCAAGACTTAAGAGGTCTAATTAATATAAAATTAAGTTTGTGGCTAAAAGCATAAATATCTTGAAATCTCAGGTTATTGTGTAGATACTGTAAGTTAATATCTAATTTGATGAGGAGTCAAATTAGAATATTTAAAACTAAGAAATAACCCTAGGGTTATTTAAATGAGTTATGGTCTCCATTTGTAGAGTACGAACAAAATAAGATTTATGGGGTTTTCTCTCTTCATCACCATCAGAGGAGTTTCAAGGAACCCTAAGCAACTCTAAAAATCGGAAGATGATATATCCGGAACCTTCAACGACTTCAATGACAAATTCAGGTACGCTTCCGCCTTCATTCTCATAATTGTATTCGGATATGGATTTAAGGGATATAAGTTGATCCTATATCGACTTATAGAAATTATTTTAGAGTTCTGTTCTTGATTTTTATTTCGTTAAAAATTATAAGATTATGAGCGGATTTAACATTTTGGTCATAGTTTCAACTCACATATCTCCATTATTTTCTAATTTCAACTCACATATCTCCATTATTTTTTAATGAAATTGAAAGAAATCAAAGCCTATTCTATAAGAAATCAAGTCTAGTTTATGAATATAGAATTTTCTTTTCACTTTAAGTTACCAACTAGCACAATTTTTGAAAATATTAGAAGGGTTCTAAAAACGGGACAAAATTTTGACCATAGTTGCAACTCACATATCTACATCATTTCCTAATGAAATTGAGAAAAAAAATACTTTTTGAATATATAATTTTATTTTCATTTCAGGTTACCTAGGAACACAATGTTTGAAAATACTAGAGGGGCTTAAAAAACGTTACATAATTTTGATCGTAGTTGCAACTCACATATCTCCACTATTTTCTGATGAAATTGAGAGAAATAAAAGCCTATTCTATAAGAAATTAAGTCAATTTTATGATTATAACATTTATTTTTCATTCTATGTTTTAAAAAGATACAACTTTCGAAATTTCTATAGAGGTTTCAAAAATGGGATTTGGGGAAACAATAACCCTAACATCAAATTCACTTGAACTTTTTCTCAACTTCTTCATGAATGATAAATTCTAACGTAACTTAGTTTACGAATATATCATAATACTTCATAAAATATACATACAAGGCTTGGATAAAGTAACCTACCACTTTGGAGGATTGGATGAAACAAAGTGAAGCTTTTGCACTTAAGAATCTTGTTCTTTCTCCAACTCTTGCTTTAGACTCAAACTTTTCTTAATTTTTGACAATAATGAGTTGATGAGATGAATTATTATCAGCATTTAGGTGAGAAAATAGTTTGATTACTCTCTTTTCTCTTTGGTTTAATGAAATATGAGTTATGGATGATGAGATGTTGCTGCATGCAAGTTAGGGTTCTTGAGGTTCAAAAGGAAGAAAGTCTCCTTCCTCTCTGTTTCATCGTGAAAGGGAGGAATGTGAGAAAAAAAAATTTCTCTCCAGATTTTTGAATGTCATGTGCTATGGGTGAATTTACAAAAAATACAATTTTTCCTTACTCACTTAACTAATTATCAACCCTACCATTTTCTTACTAATAGTTTAAACAAAATAATAA